CTACCCCCACTTATCGTGCGAAGAAAACACATTCGCAGCTGGACTATTTTGTGTATAGCAAGTGTTTGGAGCATGTCTTGTCGGAACCACATGTACATGTCAAATATCCGCTGTCGCCGCGCCGCCCTGTCAGCATCAACATTCAGGCAGACGCAGGTTTCACCGTCCCAGTCCTGTGTAAGCCGCAGCGCCTGCCGACCAAGCCAGTAGTTGGTCCCAAGTTGCCCGAGCGCGAGTGGCGCGCGACGGGGGCAGCTCTGCAGGTCGCCGGGGCCATCGTCAATCGCAACGTGGAACCACCCAGTCTGAGAGAAAAACAGCGAGTGTTGGATCAGGTTTATCAATTTCTGGCCAGGGGTTTGGAGGTTACGATAGCGGAGATCACCGACACGGTGCTAAAACCAAGTTCTCGGCCCAGGGCCTGCCCTCCCAGGGTCAGGTGGATACAAGCTCAGCAATTGCTGAAGGAGCATCGTGTTGAGTGGAAATCGCATGCATGACCTTTGCGCTGGATGCGCAATGTGGTACAGCAGTTTTTCTTCGAGCTGCAGAAGTTGGACGCAGCTGAGTTGCAGCTCGTAGCCAGCAGTCTGGAAGATCCCCCGCCAGAGCTCCAAGAGTCCGAGGCCCTACAGGAATGCCTTCTCAGCACCCATCAGAGCCTTCAGTTCCTCATCCTGGATATTCAAGCGGGGGTCCTGGAGCCTGAATTGGGTTTGGAAGCGTTGGGCGAGGCTTTGAATCACATGACTAAGCTGATTGATAAGGAGATCGCTCTGGAGAAGCAAGAGGCCTCTCGGGCCTGGCGGGAGTGGGCCCAGATATGCACTCAAGGTAATGCTGGCTGGGCTCACAAGTGGACCAAGAACCTGGAGGCCTGGGCTCCCCAAGCTGTTCCCTGGAAAGGTTCCTGGACTGGGCGCCCTTCGAAGGTTTTGGAGCATGAAGCCGTTCGACTTAGCCAACTTTGGGATACCACCGACGAGAGGCCCCAGTACGAAGTACCCCCAGGCCTTTTCGAGCCCCAGTTGCCCATGATAGAGCCCCAGCAATTGATAGATGCAGCAGAGCAGTTCACCCACGTGACGGCCTCTACGTGGGGCGGCTTTCACCCCACGCATTTCCAGAGCCTGTCGCTTGACCAGGCCGACCTGGTCTGCCGCTTTTTGCACCTGGTCGAGCCCATAGGTGCCATGCCCAAGCAGTTGCAGGCAGTAGTTTCGGTGCTGATCCCCAAGCAAAACAAGTCCAAGGTGGCTCAGGCTATACCGCAGTTCAGGGGGATCGGGATGATGCCAGGCTTGTACCGCATCTGGTCCAAGGTCCGCCAAGGGGAAGCAACTACATGGGAATCAGAGCACCGACGTAGCTTTCTGGCCCATCAGGCGGGCAAGAGTATCACGGAAGTCGTTTTTTTTTTTTTTTTTCGGCAGAGACTGAAGGCAGAGAATGGAGTGACTCGCCAAGAGACCCTGCATCCAGGCGCTGTGTTGTGGCCCCTCAGCAACTACTATGAGTATAGCAGCCACCACAAGCTGATAGAGAGGGCCCACGCCACAGGCTTCAGCAGCAAGATTCTTAAGGTCATTTTAACCCAGTACAGCAGCCAACGACTGGTCGCCACCAGGGGCTTAGCGCAGATGGTCGACCATCCGACGAGAGGGATTGCAGCGGGTTGCGGCCGGGCTACCTTTCTGGTTCAGGTCCATCGCTTGGGCCCCCTGGACAGCTGGTGCAAAAAGAACCCTAGGGGCACGGATTTGCAGATGTTTATTGACGACTTACTGGGACAACAGCATCAAAATCAGGAGGCTCTGGCAAGACAGCTGCAACACTCGGCGGCCAGGCTGGCAGTGATCATCCAGGACGATTTAGAGTGCAAGCTCGCGCTGCACAAAGCTCAGGTTATTGCGTCGAACCCTCGGCCCCGACAGACAATCAGGAAAGCTCTTGGGAAGTATGCGGGCCCCGAGGACTCGCATGCGGCAACGAACCTAGGGATAGACAGTTCTGCAGGAGCATCGAGGATTCGAGTTAGTCGCAGGCTGGCTAAGGCTACTTTGTACAAGCGTTTTGTTCGCCATCGAAATCGAAGACATCGGATTCGCGCTATCAAGTTAGCTGGAGGGAACACTCGGAAACTTTGGAAGACAGGCCTCCAGCAGGCCATCACGTATGGCACGGAAGTTGTGGGAGTCGACCACGTCGAACTTCGAAAGCTTCAAACTGAATACCTCAGAACAGCCGGCCCAAGATGCGCTACGCGAAGTAGGTCACTCAGTTTGGCAGTGCTTGGAGACCCATCGTGGCGTGCAGGTTTGGGACCAGTACTCACGTGGGCGACGATGATATGGCGTGCTGCCACCCAGCCGTCACACCCTCGTGAACCTCTTGAGCTGAAGGGCCTGGCCGAACCTATTCTAGCATCCCCCCCCCCAAGTAAGTGGGCAGCCGAAAGAGGCCCCTTTGGGGCCGCCTACCTCTCCCGCAAGAGGATTGGTTGGAGTTTTGCTTCTGTTTTGGAATTGCAAGACGAGAACGGGCTGAAATACCCGCTCACGACTTGCACGCCGAAGATGATGGCCCAGAAAATGCCAGCAGCCTGGGATAGGCTCAACTTGCGCAAAGCTGCTCAAAAGCTAGGCTACCCCCAGGAGGCCCTCGATGTTTCAATTGCCCGAGCCATGATAGACGGTAAGAGTTTAACTGAGAAGGCCAGGTCCCCGCTCGTCTGCTTTCTCACACAGTGCATTTGGACGCGGACTCGTCTGCGCCAAACAGGATATGAGGTTGAGGAGGCTTGCCAATGCGGAGCCCAGCAGGATACTTTAAAGCATCGCTTGCTGCAGTGTAGTCTCTCAGCCCAGCTGCGCGAAGAAATGGAGTTTACTGCAGACGAGCTGGATCAGATAAATAACCTCTCAGACCAGGTCCTGGCCTTCGGTTTTCAGTTTGCACCTGAATTTGACTCGGGGGCTCCTGCGGGATTCGGCTACGAATATGCGGACTTTTGGAGTCGGGACCCGCCCCTCACGCCTCAAGAGGCTTTCTCCGACGAGGTTTTCACGGACGGCTCCTGCTTTAAGCCAGGGGCCAATGCTATAACCTAGCGGGATGGTCCATGGTGGCCATCGATGGGCACGGTGAAGTCTCGGCTTATATGATGGGGCGCGTGGGCAACCTCATTCCTCCTACCTCCCCTGCTGCTGAGCACTGCGGTGTGCTTGCTGCTGCTCTGAATGCCTCCCCACACGCCCAAATTTTTGTTGACTATAAAGGAGCTATTGCGGTGCACCAGCAGCCTCAGTTTTCTCGGTCTGACTTTAATGGAGCCTTTAAGGTCCTGGCTAGGGCTAGTATGGCCCCCGTAGGCCCCAGGCTCCACAAAATCAAAGCGCATGTGGACATAGAATCTTTGACCCCAGGCAGCGAGGAGTGGCGACGAGCTAAAGGCAACGACGCTGCTGATCGATATGCGAAGATTGCCGCTGCCAGGGGTCCCCAGCTAAGTACGAATGAACTCGAGCAACATATTGTTCAGACGGCCCTTTTTAAAGAAATACCTCAGATATGTTTCATACGCCCTTCAGATCTGGCCTACGATAGCTCCGAAGGCTGGATCCAAAGGACTTGCCAAGCCAGAGGAAAGTTTGAACCCGCCCGTGGGAGCGGCCGCAGCTCAGCCCGCCTGGGGACAAGAGGTGCCTCCTCCTCCGAGTCCTCCTCCTCCTCCCCCGTCGGTTCCTGGGGACGAGATTGCTATGCCCAGGCGGGCGCATCAGTGGCATAAATGGGGCAACGGGCGGCTGTGCGCTGTGTGTCGTCAGAGGTCGGCCTCGGACCACGCTTTGAAGCGCCGCGAAAAGGAACAGTGCCCTGGTTTTTGTGCCCACCATCACGAGCTGCTGGCCAACCCACGAGGCCATAAACCGATGTTTCTCGGATATATCGATGATAGACCCTCGAATATAATTATGTGCTGGAAGCGCGGCTCGTTTTCAGAAGGAACCCGTGGCCTCAGAGGTGAATGTTCCCCGCCTACAAATGGACGCTTGTTGCAGCGACAACGAGCGGGAGAAGGACGGCACCCCAAAGGCACGGCGAGCTCGCCCATTTTGATGAAGCCTCCGATCACGCTGGCTCAGCTAGTGAGAGAATTGGGGGCGATGAGCTCTGCCGCATAGCGTGGCAAGAGCTCCAGAGACAATCGGGACTCATCCCAATCTGAGCGCTGGTCCTCCTCCTCCTGCCCCTCCTCCTCCTCCTGCTCCTCCTCCTCCTCCTCCTCCTCCTCCTCCTCCTCCTCTTCCTTCTCCTTCTCTTCCTCCTCCGCCTCGTCCAGGACAGGCCGTGCGTTGCCCTGTCGGAAGACTTCCTCACGCAAAGTGGCCTCGGAGCCAGGAGCTTCCAAAAGTTACACGGATGGAGCACAGGCCATGTTCAAACTGGGTCTCTCGCCCTGGCGCCGCGCGCACTCGTCTTAGACACATGCAACGGATTCAGCGATGGCGAGGGGGGTCGTGTTCAAAATCGGGCTCACGCCTCAGCGCCGCGCACATCCGTAGTGAAAAAGTATACACCGACTTCTCGGACGGAGGGCGGTTCGCTTCCAGAGTGGGCAGCAGGAACAGGAGGCTGCGAGGGACCCCCCGAGGCCCTGACCTGCTCCCCTTGAGCGTCGCTTAGCGCGGGGGCGATCCATGGAGGGGGGAGAGAGAAATGTGCACTCTTCGGGCCCCGCAGGCCCCCTCCTCCTCCTCCTCCTCGTCCTCGTCCTCTTCCTCCTCGTCCTCCTCGTCCTCCCCGTCCTGCTCCTCCTGCTCCTGCTCCTCCTCCTCCTCCTCCTATCCTCCTCCTCCTCCTCCTCCTCCTCCTCCTCCTCCTTCCCCTCCTCCTCCTGCAGGCACCCTTTTTGTTGGGGGGCGGACGTCCGCGACGCCAGCGCACACCCCCGAGGAGCGCGCACTTCCCGGGGCGAGGCGGTGCGCACCCCTGGCGACTCACGCGGGGCCCGGCTCGCCGCCGCCGCTGGCCTTCCTCTTCTTCTTCTCTCTCCGGGGCGCCTCGGGAGCCTCCTCGGGAGCCTCCTCCTCCTCGGCGGCGGCTTTCGCGCGTCGCTTCTCCAGCTTCTCCGCCGACTCCTCCGCGGGCGCCGCCTTCGGCCTCCTGCCCTCCTTCGCGGCCGGGGAGGCGTGGGCCCCGCCGCCCCCGCCCTCCGGGCCGCCGGGCTGCCCCTCGCCCTTCTTGCCCTTCTTGCGGGCGGGCTCCTCCTGCTTCTGGGCCCCTCCCTCCTGCGCCGCCCGCGGCCGCTCCCTCTTCCCCTCCCCGCCTCTGACCACCTACCAGACCACCCCAACCCAACCCGAAGACCCGAATCTGACCTACGGGTTGGTGGGGGGTACGGGTTCCATGTGTTTTGTCAATGTTCCCCGACCCCCCCCCCCCACTGGAAATCGAGGATCAATTTGGGCCTTCGGGTTGGGTTGGGGTGGTTTGGTGGGTGGTGAGCCTCCTGCCGCCGCTGCTGGCCGCTCCTTCTTCGCCTTCGTCTCGTAGCAGATGAACACGGTGCTGCCCCTCACCGCCATGCCGTCCCGGCGCACCGCGGCCTCCACGTCCGCCGCCTCGGTGAACTCCGCGAAGGCCAACCCTGTGCACTGCCGCTCCCGGTCGCATATTATGACGAACGAACAACACACATCCATACCCATAAGGGGGTCGTTGGGAGGATGACTGGCTATGGGTATGGGTGCGGGCTGTCGGACCCTAGGGAACGCTCCCGTTCGGGCGGGGACCCCCATCCGACAACACGCACCCACAGCCCTTTCCGACCCCCCTATGGGTATGGGTGTGTGTTGTTGGTTCGTCATATTAGGGGAACAAAAAGTGGCATAAACATGAAAACTCGGAGGTCCGCGCGGATTTCTCGCATCGGCGCTAGACCCCCCTCCCTGGCGCGCGGAGCGCGCCCGGGGCGGCGCCGGAGGCGCCGCCAGGGGGCCCCAGCGCCGCTCCGAGAAATCCGCGCGGACCTCCGAGTTGTTATGTTTATGTGACCTTCCCAGACATCGGGCGTCTCGAAAATTATCCCGGCAAAGCAACCTAACAGCGATATGTAGAAGCATATCTGAAAGCATTCCCCTTAAGATTCATATGAAAATCCAGTTGTAAAATTCTGCTGTTCTCGCAGTCGTAGTCGCATTCGCGATGACAGTCGCAGCGGCAACGGCAGTCGAAGTCACAGCCTCAGCCTCAGCCTGCCTCAGCCTCAGCCTCAGCCTGCCTCAGCCTCAGCCTGCCTCAGCCTCAGCCTCAGCCTGCTTCAGCCTCAGCCTCAGTCTGCCTTCAGCCTCGGCCTCAGCCTCAGCCTGCCTCAGCCTCAGCCTGCATCAGCCTCAGCCTCAGCCTCAGCCTGCCTCAGCATCAGCCTGCCTCAGCCTCAGCCTGCCTCAGCCTCAGCCTCAGCTGCTTCAGCCTCAGCCTCAGTCTGCCTTCAGCCTCGGCCTCAGCCTCAGCCTGCCTCAGCCTCAGCCTGCCTCGGCCGCAGCATCAGCCTGCCTCAGCATTCAAAATGTGGCCCAGGAATGGAGTTCTGGGAACTAGAAGAACACGAAGTGGCCTACAGTTGGCTCCGGGCATTCAAAATCATGCCCAGGAATGAGTTCTGGGAACTTGAAGAGCACGAAGTGGCCTACAGTTGGCTCCGGGCATCCAAAATGTGGCCCGGGAATGGAGTTCTGGGAACTCGAAGAGCACGAAGTGGCCTACAGTTGGCTCCGGGCATCCAAAATGTGGCCCGGGAATGGAGTTCTGGGAAATCGAAGAGCACGAAGTGGCTTACAGTTGGCTCCGGGCATTGAAAATGTGGCCCGGGAATGGAGTTCTGGGAGGTCGAAGAGCACGAAGTGTGTGATTGTTGACGAAAAGCGAGCCTGGCTCTGTTCCCGGTTCTCCAGAAAGTGGCCCGGGAATGGAGTTCTGGGAGGTCGAAGAGCACGAAGTGTGTGACTGTTGGCGAAAAGCGAGCCCGGCTCTGTTCCCGGTTCTCCAGAACGCGTCCCGGGAATGGAGCTCTGGGAGGTCGAAGAGCACGAAGTGCGTGACTGTTGGCGAAAAACGATTCCCGGTTCTCCTCCCCGGCACCCGCCCAGACCCCCCTGGCATATTGGGGGAGGTCCCAGAGATCCGATGTCGTGATTTTTTCAATACGGGGTCCCCAGAGGTCTCGACCCGCTCCCCGGGACCAGTTTCTCATCCCGCGAATCGTTTTTTGACGGTCCCAGGGCCCGGCGAGGGCCCCTCGAGGCCGAAAAATCGGAAAAACCTCCGTCCTGATTTTTTCAATACGCTGGATCTCTGGGTATGAGGCGCACCTCGGAGAGCGACTCCAGGCCCCGGAAGAGCTTCCGGATCTGGTTCTCGGTCGTGTGCGGGCCGAGCTTCTTCGCGGCCACGGACGTGCAGCCCTCGGGCCGCGGGCGCTCCCGGGGCGCCTCGTAGCTCAGGGCCACCGCGAGGCCGTGCAGCCTCTTCCCGTTTCGGGCCATGGCCTCTCGGGTCGGGCGAAAGGGGCCCAGAGATCCAGCGTATTGAAAAAATCAGGACGGAGGTTTTTCCGATTTTTCGGCCTCGAGGGGCCCTCGCCGGGCCCTGGGACCGTCAAAAAACAACTCGGGATGAGAAACCGGTCCCGGGGAACGGGGGCCCCGTATTGAAAAAATCACGACATCGGATCTCTGGGGGGGGATAGCAAAGGGGGGGGTCGGGGTGAGAATCAGCTCACGCAGCTGATTCTCCCGGCGCCTCCCGGCGCCGGAGGCGGCCATGCATCGAGGAAGGGGCCCCTCGGTGGGGCCGAAAGCAGCTGCATGCAGCAGATTTCGTACCCCCCCCTTTCCCAATCCCCCCCCCCTTCGTCCGGCCCGAGCCTCGTCAACCTCCTCGGTGGCAGGGAAGTCGACGAATGCAATGCCACGGGCCATGCCGGTCTTTCGGTCCGTCACGATGCGGACGGACTGCACGAGGCAGTCTTTCAGGAAAGTGCGGACGTCAGCTTGTGTCGCGTCACCGATGTTCTTCAGGCACAGCGACACGCAGCCCGTGGCCTTGTCGGTCGGGAAGTCCCTGTCGGCAGTCTTCACAGCCTCCCGAAGCGGGGCTTTGCTCTGAGCCTCGACCTTGTTGGCGACTGGACCCTTGGCAGCATCAGCCTTACCAGCAGGCGTCCCCTTCTTCTTCTCGTTCGCCACCTTCACGAAGATAGTCCTGCCTCCGTACGGAGTGTTGTCGAACTTGAGCGCGGCCTCCACGGCCGCGCTGTCGCGGAAGGTGATGAACGCCCTGCCCTTGCTGTTGCCCTCGTGGT